CAACAAGCTAATAGTTGTCTCACTTTCTAACTAGCTAAAATCTGCCCTGGAGCCCTGAAGTTAATAATAGCAATGAAGCCTTGTAGTAAATTGAAATGGAACAAAATGCGGCCGGGAAAAAAAAAAAAAAAATACCACAGAGTTGTTGTATCAACACCTCTCAGACGCAGTGTCAGTAAATGAATAAACATCGCCTGTAACAAAGTTGGCATCAGCTGCAGAACTAATGAATCGGGTTACAGGTGTCCTGATTGACGCAAGGTTGTCAGAAATAAATCCAGGTACGCTTTAGGAAATGTATATATGTTTTTTAATAGCGTACTCTGTTTATTTCACCACCAACCAACACACAACACGCCTTGAATTTAAACACATTTGAGCTGTAACCCCTCACTCATACTGAATCCAACTCTGGGAAGGAAACCAGAGTGAAATATTTTGTGTCTGCTACATCATCCTACTAACTCGAGGTCCACTTACAAGTTTTTTTGACCCTCTGAGCTCCAGAAAAGGCTCCATAGTGGATCCATTTTTTTGCTTTAATGCTTTAAATTTGTGTTAAATATATGTGATTTATGTCACAATTTGTTTGGAAGGTAGAATATAATGAAAGAACAAGATTTTAAACTTAATTATTGCTCCACAGTTAATTATTTCCTCATATTCTCAAGAATAAAAACAAAACTAGCCAATTAATGTGCTCGTTTCCAATGTTACTTTATGTAAAAGTGTGATGTGTCGACTGAAAAATAAGTATTTTTAAACATTGCAGGGAACGGCTGACGATCAAGTCTTAAATATTATCTAATGCACACCTGGTTAACACTTTTTTAATATCTTGGTTGTTTTTAAACTCATATTTGAACTCTTGATCTTAAGTTATCAGAGAAACGAGCTGAGCTAACGTTAGCAGCAGCTCGGCTCGCAAAGGAGACCTTTAAATATGAACTTGTTCATTTGGTGTGGTTAACTGGACTTTTATTGTGACGGGTCATTCCCTGTCACCTCATTTGGTCACTTCTTGTGACCGTAACATGATGCAGCTTGATGACGAGCGATGTCCAGGTGATAAAACTCCTGGCACGGCATAACTAACTCTCTCTCTCTCTCTCTCTCTCTCTCATAGCTTCATTCATAGCTACCCTCTGTGTTAA